GCCCTCCTGCCGGAGCTGGGCGGAGGTGGCCAGCGGGAGCCGATAGGCCGGGTTGGCCAAGGGTGCTGCTGTGGGGGGGTGTGGTCAGTTGAGGGGGCGGGGCCAGGAGGCTCCGCCTCCTCTTCCTCAGCCCAGAGGGTTCCCAGCGCAGGAGGAGGGGGGGAGGTTGAATGGACTCTGGTGGCCATGCGGTCTCCATCCATCCATCCCTTCATCTATCCATCCCTTCATCTATCCATCCATCCATCCCTCCATCCCCATGTGGTCTCCACCCATCTTCCATCCATCCATCCATCCATCCATCCCCATGTGGTCTCCATCCATCTCCCATCCATCCATCCATCCATCCCCATGTGGTCTCCATCCATCTCCCATCCATCCATCCATCCATCCCCATGTGGTCTCCATCCATCTCCCATCCATCCATCCATCCCCACGTGGTCTCCATCCATCCCCATGTGGTCTCCATCCATCTCCCATGTGGTCCCCATCCATCTCCCATCCATCCATCCATCCATCCCCATGTGGTCTCCATCCACCTCCCATCCATCCATCCATCATCCATCCATCCATCCATCCATCCATTCCCCCCATGTGTTCTCCATCCCCATGGGGTCTCCATCCATCTCCCATCCATCCATCCATCCATTCCCCCCATGTTCCATCCATCCCCATGTGGTCTCCATCCATCTCCCATCCATTCATCCATCCATCCATTCCCCCCATGTGTTCTCCATCCCCATGTCGTCTCCATCCATCCATCCATCCATCCATCCATCCATCCATCCATCCCCATGTTCCATCCATCCCCATGTGGTCTCCATCCATCCCCATGTGGTCTCCATCCATCTCCCATCCATCCATCCATCCATCCATTCCCCCCTTGTGTTCTCCATCCCCATGTCGTCTCCATCCATCCCCCCATCCCTCCCTTCCTCCCCAGCTCCGCTCACCGGCTCCGGGGGGGACGGGGGGCAGCGATGGCCGTGGCCGTGTGGGCTCCTGGTACTCGCCCTGACCCGGGGGGATGCGCTCGTAGCGGGGGGGGCCCCGTGTTGCCCCCGTCGCGTTGTTGATGACGATGGTGTCACCCGGCACCGAGAGCTGCACCCGCAGCTCGTCCTCCGAAGGCCGGCGCTGTGCCTGTGGGCGGGACCCTCAGGTGGACCCACAGGGCCGGCTGCCCAGTTCCTCCCAGTTCACCCCACCACCTTCCCAGAGCTTGGACACTGGACCCGCATGTCCAGGTTCCCAGTTCCTCCCAGTTCACCCCACCACCTTCCCAGAGCTTGGACACGGAAGCCAGGTGTGTGGGTGCCCAGTTCCTCCCAGTTGACCCCACCATCCTCCCAGAGACGGACCACTGGACCCACATGTCCAGGTTCCCAGTTCTTCCCAGTTGACCTCACCACCCTCCCAGAGTTTGGCCACTGGACCCACATGTCCAGGTTCCCAGTTCCTCCCAGTTGACCCCACCACCCTCCTAGAGCTTGGCCACTGGACAATGATATCCGAGTGCCCAGTTCCTCCCAGTTGACCCCACCAACCTCCCAGAGCCTGACCACTGGACCCACATGTCCAGGTTCCCAGTTCCTCCCAGTTCACCCCACCACCCTCCCAGAGCCTGACCACTGGACCCACATCTCCGGGTTCCCAGTTCTTCCCAGTTGAACCCACTACCCCTCTCACCTTCCCCAGTATCTTCTTCCAGTACTGCCGCCAGAGGATGAGGAAGATGACGCCCAATAGGAGCAGGATGATGGCCACCAGGCAGCCAATCAGGATGGAGGTGTGGCTGTGATCGGCTTTGG